CCGAAACGTCAGCCTTCCTGCTCCTCTGATGCTGCTTGGCCTGCTATCTTCATCCAGCTCTACACTTTGTTATCTCCCCCTTTCTACATGATCCTTTTCTCAACATATTCGAAAGTTGCTAATTAATTTTAATCCTTTGACGTGCCAAAGTTGAACCATGCTTACTGAAAGTACATTACAATATTGTGACAAGGTATCACAAGATCCCAGGAAAGTTTGAGACTAAACTGGGCATAGGCTTGGTTTCATGGAGGAACCATTGATCTAATATCAAACTTGTCTCAAATTGTCAGTTCACACCTTTTGTAACTGTAGCTGATCTATGGGGATTAAGTGGTTCTGGTAAAATTGAAGGATATACATGCAAATTTAACATATGTTATAAATTTACAGCTCATGTGAGCAGTACATTAATAACAAGCTGTTGATCACACCTGAGTGTTTTTCGTTCAGATGGAATTATACATAAAATGCAAAGCAGCAGTTAATAATGAGAAAATTAGTCATCATCCAAGTGACATTCACCAAAATTCTGAATTCTTTAACAAAATTATAATTTGAAATCTTTCTATGCTGATAGCTGATTTATTAAATCTACATACTTCACAGTTAAGCACTTCTTTAAAGGAATCACTGTCATAAACTGTTCCAAGCAGTTTCAGCCAAATTTGTATTCTTTGTTAATTTGATCAAAGCAAATCAATTCAAATTGTCTAAAAAGTCAAATAAAAGAGCTCAAGAACATCAAGGTGCATTTCCATCATTAGATTCAATTACTTCACGCATTAAAAATCTTCAAAACAGAGCTTTATCCAGTATAGATTGAGAAAGAAATATATTCTTCGCAACAATTCTTTCATTAACAAAATTCCCAGCAATCTTAAACAGAAGAGGATCAAACCTTGAATCAAGCAGTTTTTGTGCTGTGCCACTATAAAACTACGTTCAGCTGAACATAACCCTGCCTGACCTTGGGCTACTCAGTGCAGTATGCCAATCCTTCCTCCTCCACTACGTCAATATTGTATAGCTGTGTCATTTTCTCAGATTCAGAAAAATGGACACACAGGAAACTTATTGAGCAGCAACGGTGGCTTATATCTTATCTCCAAGGATACAGAGGGACAAAGAACTCAAAACAGAATTTTTTTAAATTTTTTCACTTGGTAGGACATTTCAAGGGTCAGTTAAGAGTTAATCACATTGCTATTTATCTAGTCACATGTAGGCCAGACCTAATAAAGATGGCAGGTTCCCTTTTCTGAAAGGGACATTAGTGAACCAGATAGGTTTTTACTCCAGATTTTGTTGGTTGCATTTAAATTGCACCAGCTGACATGTTGGGATTTGAACCCAAGTCTTCAGACCATTAGTCTGAACCTCTGAACACAAGTCACCATCATTTCCCCTGTGTATGTGCTGTAAGTCCCAGATTTAAAAAAGTCAAATTCACATTTCATTGAGAACTTGAATATTTTCCATATCATTTGAAACAGGGAGATCAACATCAAAGTCGAATGGGATGATCAAAACCATACAAATCAAAAGGTAATTACACTATAAAGGTTACATATTGCTTACGAAATTTGCAGATGAAAGGGCTCAAAACAAAACTGCCAAGCAGGTACTGTCTTACCATGCTATCTGATAAACTATAAAACTGCCTAATCCCTTCATATTTTGAATGATAAAACCAATCTTGTGTGTTTGATTCTGCTACAGATAAGCATCTACACACTTGGAGCATATATCATAATTTTAGCATATGGTTTTGGTTTCCGTGTCTGAAATGCAAAACAAAATACTCAAATTAAAATTCTTTCATAACTATATTTCTCTTTAAGCAATGGGAAGCAAAATTTTTTCTGCAATTATTAGAAACCACAAATTCCCAAGATAACACTATTTAAAAAAATTAGACTTCTGCTTAAAATCTGAAAACTCCAAAAACAGGTAAAAAGCAGAAATGTGTTGCTATGTACTTCTTCCCAACATTACATGCACAATGCACAAGATAAACAAGAGATGCACAGATTATATTCAATCTGAAGTCTTCATGACCAGCGAAGAGGGGAGGAAATATCTAATCAAATGGAATGAAGGCTTCTGCTTTGTTTAATGGGGAGGGATGGGTAGGACTTCCTGGTATCTCTTATCACATTAAAAAAAAAATCCCTGTCTGCACATTGAGAAACATACAGCATCTCATCTCTCATCCCAAAATCTTATCATCCAAAACATCAAACAAGACAAATGAGGAACCTAGATGACTCACTCACCAATCATCCCTCACTAAAGACACATTCGTGGTTTCCAATTCATGGTAGAGCAGAAACCAGGAATTCACTCAGAGGGATCATGAATTCAAATCCATTCCATATCATTCCCTTCCAGACCATTTTGCTGTGTT